TTTTATCAACACTAGATATCATGATTTAGTTATTCATGTGATACCAATTATCCTGTTCTGCAACTTTCACGACAAACATATATGCACTCCATTCAAATGATTTAGTTTCAAGTTCAAATAAATTTCGTTGTTCTTTATCGTCACATCAGAAAGATTTTTTTAACCTTTTCAAAAATGAGCCTATCCGGCTTTCGTAAAAATGATTTCAACAAACTGGGGGGAAAACAATTCAAAAACTTCGTGTACTACGATGCTTTAAGAATCAATATCTTACACGTGGCCTCGGTATAGGTTTCGTCTAGACTTGTGGCTGTAGTTAATTGCACAAGGTTTGACGAAGGTACAGGACTTACATTATATAATGAAGGCATAATATGTAGTAAGTTGTGTATCTGTTTTTTCAAAGGATGGAACAACAATTTCCCTCTTGAAATACTGATTGTTGCAGAATTATCGTATGGTACAATGATTGTTGCAGAATCATCTTATGGTACAATGATTGTTGCAGAATTATCTTATAGTACAATGATTGTTGCAGAATTTTCTTTTGATATCAAAAGAGGGAAATTGCTGTCTTGGAACTGAAAAATAACGAGTCCATATTTGAAAAGATAAGTAAAAAAAATCCTTGTATGTCTGAAATAAGAAGTATTCCTTTGCACAAAAAATATTGTCCATGTTGTGAATAAACCTTTGATTTACAACGTAGTAGATTCTGTGCCTACGTTACACAATGTGGGCACTGTTACTTTATCAAACATTGTGCAATAAACTGTGTCTAGATGAAACATTGAAGACAAAAGGCTAATTGTAAGTAATAAAAATATAGGGATATTTAAATATCGTATTTTCATGTTTATTTTATTCCATCTAGCCGATATCTTATTGATTCAATTATTTTAAAAAGAACTAAAAAATGATTGTGAATAAGTTTAAATAAATTCCATGAGTGGAGTATTAAAAAGTTTTTTTTTTCCATGAACGCTGTCATGTTTTATATACTGGTATCAACATTTTCTATGAAAGTACCAGATATTGAATACCATACTTACAAGTAGATAAAAAATAGAATGAATATCATTTGAATATCATTCTTCTTTGGAAATATCTACCAGAACAGGTTGATAGAAAATAGAATGAATACCATTTGAATATCATTCTTCTTTGGAAATACCTACCAGAACATATATTACGATTAAGTAATGTTATTACTTATCATAATTTGTTACTTAAAAAGAGGGAGAAAATTCGTATTCGACACTGTAAAAAGCAAGAAACATTTGATTTTATCTTCAGCTCATGTTTCGACATTTATTATCTGTTTATGATTGGTATAAAGGACTCTATACTTATAATCATGTAAAATTGAAAAAGGTGCAGATAACGAACAGTGATCGATCTAAAAGAACTACAAACAATACAAATTTGTGAACAGGGCAAAATCATTTGTAAAACATCCAAATATGAAACATATGTGGCAGGCCCTGTGGTGTCTTATATTTTCAGTTCACAGGGATATATCGAGTGGATAATATGAATGGAAATAACTATTGTTAAATGATAAAACGTCGATGTATATGAATGTCGAGTTGGAGGTTACAAAGAGTTTTCTTCCTCTCTTTTAGAAGTTTTACAGAGTTTTCTTTCTCTCTTTTAGATGTTTTAGAATAAATTCTGAACCCTGTTTTACAACAGGGTATGACACATCTGTTTCAAATTTGGATGTTTTACTGACAATAGACAATAAGGGCCAACTTACAACTTAACTGTATTACAAACGAGATGATTGCAGCTTTTCAATCGTCAACTTTCCTTATGTAGAAATATTTCGCTATCACCTGCACATGTCTCCCAACTTATTCGATACTCAAAAGCATGCCCTGGGTACGATCAATTTTAAAGAGAGACAGGCCACTGACAGATAAGTTGATGTTACAGGGATTTCAACAACCTTTAAAGTCAGCAAATATAACATATCATTGGGTCATATTTTGATTGATATATTTCTTACCAATTGTTAGGCCTTTGTTTTCATACTAAATTTGACTACAAAATAATCCGTCTACCTGATCAATACATAGAGCTCACGGCGAGTGACCGGTCAACAGGGGATGCTTACTCCTCCTAGGCACTTGATCCGACCTCTGGACTCTCCAGGGGTCCGTGTTTTATGCCTTATTCAGAGGTTTGTATTGTTTGTATTTTTTTTGAAAACGATTACTGTTCGTTATCCTCGCCTTTTTTCAGTACAAGCAGAAAAAATTATACTCATATTATTTTCCCGCTTTTATAAAAGAAAAATGAAGATAATGAACAGTAATGAAGCACAAAAGTCCAATAAAACAATACAAATTTGGAGCAGAGCGAACACGGACCTCTAAAAACATCAAAGGTGTGATAAGGTACCACGGAGGAGTAAGCATCCCCTGTCGACCGGTCACAACAGTCGTGTACTCCTTGTCATAATCGGGAAAATGGAAAATTCCGCAGACAATTCAGTGATAAAATGGCCTAACAATTTGTATGAAAAACGTCAATCAATCCACTTAATGATAGATTGTGTTTGCTGACAAGGTCATTGTATCGACCATAGAATTTTCGAAATGTTGACTTTAAACGAGACTGTTGATATTCTTGTTTCATAAACTTATTCGTCAGAAGCTTCGTTTTAGAAATTGTTCGTATTAGAAAATGCTCTTGCGTATCTCATCAACTGGGAGACATAAACTGCATATGCAGGTGATAAGGATACATTACTACATAAATAAGGGAAGTTGACGATAGAAAAAATATCAAAAAAAATTGTTGTTAGGTTATCATTAACGTCTTTTTCTAGTAAAATATCCGAATATAAAACAGATGTTTACAGACTCTGTGGTATCTTCTATTTCGAATTCAATATAATTATATATATAATATAATAATATATTGAATCAACCTAGGAATGAAAATGAATATTCTTAATTGATAAATTAACAAAATTAAAATCGATATATCTAAATGTTGAATTGAAGGCCACAGCAAGAAACTTCTTCTTTTCATGTAGAAGTTTTTGAATAAATTCTTCTTCATATGAATACAAAAATATGTCTGCTAATAAATGGGCGCAATTAGTACCCATGGGAATTCCGACAAATTGTTGGAAAACTTGATTTCCAAAAACTAGATAGATATTGTCAATCAGAAAATCAAGCATCTTTTTAATATCAACTTCAAAGTACTTGTGTGTACAATCAAAATGTTTTTAACAAAATAGTTTTGTAAATGGCCAATGACAAGGTAAGTATATTTACGAGTTCCGTTTTTATTGAAAAAGCAGCTGTCTATGATGTCAAAAAGCCTGGACTTTAATTAATCGCGGGGAATGGTTGTATAAAGTGTTGAAAAGTCGTACGTTGTGATGTTATTGATTTGGGTTAAAATTTGTGATTTCAAATTTTCTAAACGTTCCTTGGAGTTTTTAAGTATCCACATCTGATTTACACCATATCCTGAAAATATTGCTGTATAATACTCCTGACGTTTCTCAGCTGTTAATATTTTAGCGAGGAGTAAAGAAAGAGGCTTGGTAGAACATTTACCGGAACCCGCTATGTATCTTTGTTTGTAAGGATTTTTATGTATTTTAGGAATCCAGTATAGGCATGGTAGTTGAAATTCAATTTGATTGTTGGAAATATTAGAAATATTTAAAACTGACATATGATTTTGAAGAATTTCCTCCTTAGAAAGGGAAGAATAAGTATAAGTTAGATAGCTACTGGCAGAATTAAATCTAAGTTCCTCTTAAATATAATTAAAATAATGAACCTTACAAGCGATGACAAGAGGAAATTGTAATAATATAATTATAAATTTGTGAAAAGTCATTTATAATCAATAGTTATATAACTTATAATCAAATCATTCACTTTAACAAGTAAACTTCTTTATCCTATATCACCTTGAATTTGAAATTCCCCACTTAAGGAAAGATGGTGCAAACAACAAAAACTGCATGCCTGGATTTGTATATACATTTTGGAGCTATTTTGGTCGTAAATCAAATTTCAAAAGTATTTAAGAAATTGTAACTTTCTATGATGTTCAAACTTCTACCTGTCTGAAATCATCCTTATAAATCTGTACAACTTTTTATCACTTTAAAGGACAGTATTGTGAAATTTTGAATTGAAAATAAAAATCTATGGGGTTAAACTTTTTCATTTTACTTATATAAACATTTTACTTTTTTCATGATTGTTGACGAAAGTTTGTATCATCTGTCCTTAATTTCTGCACAGTCTTCAACTTTTAATACAAATACAGTGATCAGTGGCGTACCTGGCGACACTTGTACTCTTATTTTACCGGGGTTTAATTTTTTCTTTCGTTTTTTTTTTTTTGAACTCAATATAAAAAGTATATTCAAGATTTATAATGAACAAGTAAATATCTCTTAATATGTACAACTTACCTCAGTGTTGATGATGTAGTGTTATTTCCCTCTCCATACTGATTATGAAAACAATTTTCCTCATTGCGACAAATTCCCAAACTAGGTATATGTGTACCACATATTTATTATATTTGAACTATTTTTAGGGAGAAGCATCGTCAGATATGCAATACATGCCACAAAAATTGATTAGAGTCTAGCATTTTTATTTATTACGAAAATAAATATACCTGATACAAAGAAAATGATCCAGAAGAAAAGAGAGTAAGAAATACTTCACAGTGATCTTATTTTACAGGAAATGCATTTTTTCATGAAATTATGCAAAACTGTTGTCATTTATTTTAAAAGTATACAAAAATAAACCAAGAACCGCATGGACTTCCCTTAATAAAAACTAAATATATCGTTATTTCGTTATTTTGAAACTCTTTCTAAAGATATGAAATATGTGTTCTATTTGAAGCTTGCAGGTGCTTTAGAATAGGATACATCGTCACGTTTCGTTTGACGATCTCCAGAAAAAAGTATGCTTCTTCCTTCTCCATGAATAACAAAAAAGTCTTGGTCAATATTTTTTAATTAAATTAAAGAACATTTTATGACACAACAACTCTGAATCCCATTCAGAAACATGCATGTACATATGACAAAATGTTTATCTTCAAGAGATACAGCTTAAAATTTACAAATAATGTAACAATTCAATGTTCATGGACAAACAAATAACACAATGCTTCCTATATCCTACACTTTAAGTATTCTGACCAAATTCGATATTTGTGTCACTAAAAACTATAGAAACAATGCAAGGTTTTGATTGATGAATATTAATGGAATCTTAATTGTCAAAAGATATACTCTAATAAATAAACAAGTGAACAATTTTCTCTTACACATTAAATAATTTGTCTAATGATTGGCAAACTGTAAAAAAAGATCATTAAGTAAGTGAACATGATTTGAAGTCTACTGAGAAATTTTCATAAATATTTCTTTGTGTAATTTAAATTTAAAGTTTTTACAAAAAAACATTTCAGAAAACCATTTCTGTGAACTATATTATACAGTTCATAATCCAGTGGCATTGCTTTTCAATAATTTTAAAGTTGTTTGCATTGTTACTTGTACATATTATTTAAAAATGCCTGTAAATTATCGGGATAGTCTGTGTTTTGAACATTAATTTAAAATCTACTAAAAAATGTTCATTCTTGAAGTCCTAAATATACTCGAATTTTATTTGTGTACAGTACAAACGGCAATGAACTTCCCGCTATGTTACTTTTACGAATTGTCCAGTATATTTCAAAAACCAGACCCACAATCAAAACAATGCCACTAGTATGTAATAAATACATTGTATACATCATTTATGTTGAAATGGATAGAACAAGGAACACAAATTATCACCAAATCATACACATTGATTGGAGTTGATAATTTAGTTGATAATTTACTATCTAATACTTCTGCTTGGGACTAAGTTGGACATTGCTGCAAACATCAACTATTGTGGTGACGTCACAGGTTGTCACAAATTTTGTTGGCTTTCTGAGATCACATGATTTACATAGTCAACAATGACGTAACATTGCGAGGAATATGTTGTCTCAATCCGGGCATTCACGCTTCCACTGAAGCAGTGACGTCACTGAAGTACTTCACTCTTCAGAATGTTTTTTTATTTGATTGGGTGACATTTCAATGTTAACTTGGCTTTAAGTATTCTCTTAGAGGATTTTTACCTTTTCTTTGTGGGCTCTCTGAAACGATTAAGCCATAGTCTGCAAAACATACGAAAGGAATCAAAGGTTTGAATCAAGCACTGTAGGCATTTTAAACATTTTTTTGGAGATAGAAATCTGCAGCATAGCCAAGGACTATATATGCATTTTTTGTTATTGTTAGATACGAACTTTTATTACTTTAACTTTTTATGAAAATAAATTATGCCTACATAACCGTCTACGGAACATACACTTCCTTTTGGTTATTTTTATTAAGGAGATTCACGCATGTTTGATTGATACTCAAGAAAATGTTAAATATATTGTACTTGTTTTTCTACAAATATTTCAAGGGCTTATCAATAAAACTCCTTGCATCAAACCGCACAATTTTATGCTGTTTTGTAATATGTGTTGCTTACATTCAAATAATGATAAATCATTGTTTATTTACTTAGTTTTTGATGGTTTCATGGTTAGTGATGGATCGCTTGTTTCAGTTAATAAATCAATTCATTCTTTCAAATTCAAATAGGTAAAAAAGAATCTTACCGCTCAAATTTGTACAGCTTAACCATTCTTCTAAAGTTATTTTCTTATTAGTATTTTCGTCACAATATCTAAGAAAATTTCTGCTACACTTTCTAGTGTCTTTTTGTTTTGGTATAAGTTTGCGGAATTTTTTCACTTCTCTCCTGTCCAAGTTCTGAAAAAGACCAGAGAGAGCATACTTGTATAAAGTATTAATTAATAGTTAATTTCCATGGAAAGTAAGAACCAGATGCATTTCCAAAATGCATATTTAAATTTTATTTTTTATCATTTTTTTTTAACATTTATGTATTTCATTTTTCAAATTATTCCATCTATTTTGTTGCAGCTTACTTTTCCAAAATGTTTCGTTTACGTTTCCAGAAAAGGCATGTGCGTCAGTTGAGTACTATTTCATTATTTTTTAATTCTACCATGAGATTGTTACCATGTTTTTATTTTTATCAAGACTCCTGAACTTCCATCTCGCAGCCCTCTCGTAATCAGACTCGTTATTGTTCGTGTGACTTGAGCTAAAGAAAATAGATTGAAAGTTAAGTACAGAGTATGTTTTTAATAAAATTCCTTTTAATATAATCATTTGAAGTAAGAAGTGATACATGCATGCCAGACATGAAAGCAAGACCTAACACACATATTAAACAATTATGGCAAAAGTTGAGCAAAACATCTGCTTATTTGTGGTAAAGAGAAAATGTTTCACATTCTATAAACAGTGCCCAGCTGTGACTACCCAATCGGGGATAAGATGGGGTCATATTGGGTCAAACTGAAGAACATTTGATAAGGAGGTCACAAACATCAATCGTATCCTATTAACAAACAGAAGATGTCACCACTGAGAGATTGACTGCCCTGGAAGTTGTCAATTACCTACGGTGATCCCCCAGGATCAATACCGTTATTATTAGGTCAGGGCTTAATGATTCCCTTAAATCACGTAAGGTGCTCTCTTCTTTAATTTCTTAATTTATTCTGACGGTAAGACTATCATAATGAACATGTCGACATAAACTGCGCTCAGTCCCCCGTGATTCTAGCTTAAATAGCTGATACCCGTCCCATTATTTTGGAACACGTGGAGTTTATGAGCAACACACCTGCGCTAAGTTTTCTTACTACACCTGTAGGCCCTCAAAGTTTATTGATAATTCAAAGGCAGGTGAAACAATTACACAAACGTTTGGAAATTTAATGCTACATTTCAAACATAAAATAAGAGCATTGAATACTGTCATGAATTTATAGCCGTAGTTTGACACAAATAAAGGGAAAAACAGAATTTTTATGTGCAACGTCTTTTCTTGCACCTTTCATCCTTTCAATTTGAATTGAGAACTGAAATATTAAAGATATACGTCAAACTGCTAGAGATTATATTAACGAGTTGATGAGATATCGGAAATGTATTTCATTATACTAAATTCTCCCCGCAGTACAATGTCTCCCTCCTTATATTACATAATCAAATCACAGATGGACATTTTTCTCCTTTGCATAATCATGTGCGTAGGTTTTAATATGATCATAAAAATTATGATTTTAAAATGAAATTTTACCTAGCCGTAGAATCGTTCTTCATTTCTGACACAAACATATTCAGTAAACTGGTTAAAAACCTTGCTTTCTTGACGAATGGACAACCTTGAAATATCATAGAAAATAGCCTTGTTAATAGAGAAAAAGTCTACATTCGCCTTGAATTTTTTTTAATTATGCAATATATAAAATTATATAGGAAAAAAGATTATGTTGAAGCTGCTTTGATAGAGAAAAAAGTACGTTAATTTTCATCAGATGTATAAAAAAAGCTGCTTCTGCAATGTAATCCAGCAAAAAATCTAAACTCGACCGAATAATTACACATGAAAATGACTTACGTTATTACCTGAAGAAAAGTATTAAGACTATAAGTGCATAACATTTTGATGCTTACCAGGCATTTCACGCTCTGTTGTAATATTGCACTGAGGAGGCCCTTTGGAGGCCAATTTAGCTTTTATTCCTTTAAGCGGCATCCCTGTTTCTCGATCAACACACCAGCAATATTTATGACATTGGACAATGTTATATTTGCCGTCAGTAGAACATTGTGGTATGTAGATCCCCCCTTCTGGATCCGCAGACCGTTGACTGAGGGAGAAAGCTCGTTCCTCAGAACAACTCTTTCGTATCAGGCCTACTGTACAAGAAAATACAAAGTTAAAGGTGACACTGTATTATTGGATCTATATTACATAAATTTTGCAGAAGTATTAAACAATTAATTGTGAAAGATTATAGAAGCAAAAGCTAGATTTTTTTCTTTGGGTTTTGTCAAGATGAAGCATGTGACACCATCCCCTCGCTCTGAAAAGCTATTGCGGTAAGCCAAAATATCTGGAACAGGTCACGTGACAGCGCGTGGTTTTAGATGCCACCACCAGCGGGTGTCGAAGCAGTGATGGAACGATGTGACAAAACAGTTAATGAATAATTTTGTTTTACCATTTTCCCTCACTAGCGACTGCAATTATGGTTAATGCATGGAATTCTTTAAAATTGAAATAAATGATTACTAATAATGCCTTCATAACTACAATTGTATTACAATGCAAACAACTCATGTATGAAATTGAATAAACCTATAATTAGTAACTACATTTTTTTTTTAATTTTATGAAAAAAGATCAGCAAGTGCTGTAAAGAAGATAGGTCGAATCATATAGAATCAGAAAATGAGATAAAAAAAAACGTGCATGGGATAGTCTCAGAATAGGAAAAAACGCCCTTAAAGCTTAAAAATTGTCAATTATCAAAAATGTTATTGTTGAAAAAGAAATATGACCTAAATCGATGAAAAAGTTATACATCAACTCTCATTTATCTCTGAATACTTTGACTTTTTTGAACTGGACACTATATATGGACTGAAATGGCGGCTATCTACCTTCCGTGTCTGGTCTAGAATCGGTGACAAAGATGGGTTGTTGCGGATTGAGGCCAGTCAGGGAACTTCCGGCCTCGCCTATGATGGGCTGCCGGACCTTTGTTGAGGCTGTGTTTGTAAAGAAATCAAGAGATTTATTCAGATCTACTGTAGTACTGTCAACGAATATACACACACTATCACTCCAGATACAGACCGGCTTACTAATATCCATAATGCATCAAATAAGGCTTTAGAATGTGGGTTTCAGTTGGTTTGGCAAGGCTATTTCATTCATAATCATGCTATTGCTGGTAGTTTTTAAATAATTGACAAAAGACTCTAAATTTAAGATACATCGTCCAAATTTCAGAGAATAAAATGACATATTTATTTCAAAGCGATAAAGTTTAACTTTTAACTCATTTCAAGTGGCATTGTAAGTAATACATATTTGGATTCGAGTCGTTTAAACGTGTTAAATAAATTTTTGACAAGACGATAACTATTTATGCACAGTTTCCAACAGAAATTTATCCAGACAACATAAGTCTTAATATACCAAAAATCCGATTTATTTCGATTTTAAGTCAGAATTTCAATAGTTACCCTTTAACCTCCAGAAGAATCATTTTTCTGTTTCATTAGTGTTTATTACTGTTTGGCATTATATTTTCTAAAATAAATAATAAATTAATAATTTTTCAGATCGTTTTATATTCGTTGACAGTGTAAAAAGTTACAAAGTATAGGGTCACACAAGGTACAGTAATTAATACAAGTAATTAATATGTAATTAATCGTTATTTTATTTCATTAATGAAAAAAAGAAACGTGGATACATGTACAGAACTGAATTTTCTGAAAATGAATCTTATAAAAGCAGAGAGAGAGAGAGAGAGAGAGAGAGAGAGAGAGAGGTTTCATAGAAACAGAGATCATTGGCAAAAATTGTAATCATACATTTCAAAATATTGCTTAGAGAGGACAAACAAGTGAGATTTCGTACAGGAGTATTGACTGAGTATATCACACAGATCATGCTAAGTAAACTATGATATCATGCAATCCAAAGCATGCGCAAATGCCAAAAAACGCAAGATATATTACATTGAAAGTGCTGATAATCATCCAAGTAGAGTAAAGAAATAAAAGTTATTAATTAAGGATAGCTTTTAAATATGGATAATTTTATTGAAAATAAAGAAAATATACCATCTGGTTCTTCTTTGTCTGGAGTCTTCAAGGTTTGGTCTGTCGTCAGGGAGAAGAAAATTCGACGAGAAACTACATAAAACGGGGTAAACCTAATTGTTCTAATGATAACTAACTGTATCTCAGCCCGAAGGTCGTTAATTTGTTAGTAAGTGAAGAAAAGTAAAGAAAACCGAGTCTGATCTCGTTCATCTATCACTCTTCTACCACCCTCCCTTTTATCAAATCTCATCTTCTAGGAAATTTCTTTTGTTATTTACCGAAATCGTTTCTAATGATGATGCCCAACATTGATCAAACTCGGAATTTCAGGAAGATAGCGTGGCGTTTGGGACTGTGTGCACTATACACGAGTAAGAAGACTAGTCTTTATATTAAGGTTAGATAGGAATGGATCATCATATGCAGAGAAGGTCTGAAAAATTTAACCAAAATATGTAAATCATTTAAAATATTACAAAAGTCTTTCAATTATAGAGGGTCGTCCAACTTGGAACCCTGGCCAGATTTACAAGCAAGAAAAGAACAGAAAGGTCAACATTTGAATATTGCAAATAAATATGGCACAGTCTGCAATTTAGTAGATCAAGTGTCTGTTCTTCCTCAAATGGCCAACATTAAAAGGAAAACATCACTTCATCACATAAATTTATCAACAGTACACATTGCAATCGTCAAATGTAAAAGTAGAACACAGGTGAATAGGACGTGAAATGAAGACTCGTTACAATGAAATATCTTTTATCTTATTGAAGTTAACAGTGAAACATGATGGAGAAGAACGAGTAAAAAAAATACTCTTTACAAAGTTTATCTTCATTATTGGGTTTTTATTCAATTCAAAATGCGATCTTCATGAAATCGTCCTTTTCTGCCCTCGTTTCGGAATGACGTCAGTAGATTCATCACAATGTCATCGTCAGCAGATTCGTCACACTTTCGTCATCAAAATATTTGTTATTTCGTCGTCAAAATATTTGAAGTATTTCTACATCTCATCGTCAAAATATTGAAGCACGTCTTTAAATAACTATCTAACAAACTTTCAACAGTCCTAATCATGCCAAAATAACTAAAATCGAATGCATTACAAACAACATCAACATGCTAAGAATATGAAAAATAGATTAGAGCGTGCCCCTTGTCAAAACCATTCACGAAGTAATGCAAATGAAAAAAATAAATTTATAAACATCGTTTTTCACAACATCTAAACTTACACGTAGGCTGAATAATGATTGGCGGGCCCTTATGAATCCCTACACAAGAAAAGGAAGTGAATTCTTCATATACACTCAAGACTTAGTAATAGAAGTCTTATTAGTAAGCAGTATTGTTATGTGACGTCATCACCGAAACGAGGCAATGTTTGATTTCATCAGCTGTTGGACTAAACAGTGAAATTAATCTAACAGCTAACAAAATCAAGGTAATCATTTTTAAACTTTCAAAAAATAAATAAATTCACAATATATTTATTATGTTTAAATCTAATATTTACTGTAAGTTTATAAAGTTATTCACAAAAAACATTCGAAAAATTAATCATAATCTCTTGCTCATGAATACTAGAAATATATGAAATGCAAACTTTTTCTTTTTAATTTTAAATTTCTTCATTCATCCAAAATAAATGACTACTCACTGCTGTTAGCGTTAGTCGTGAGACAGAAAGACCATTCCTTCCGCACGATCACTCGATTCCGATCGGAATCGCAGTACTCAAGGAATCTGCGTGCGCATGCCTTCGGTTGTATTAACTTCCGCACCATTCTTTTAATAGTCCTAGTTTCTTTGCGTTTCAATATATTGTCTTTATTTTTATCAAGTTGATCGAATTTCCACTCAATCACTTTCTGTGCTAATGTTTTATCTGTGTCCACTGAAATATTATTTATCTACATGACATTCAGTAACTTTACAGTTACATTTATGATTTGTTTTAAATTCAACTTACTACGAATTATTATTGTTTCACATAGTCATTCGAAGCTGAATATGTATTTTCTCAAAAACTTAAAAAACATATATCATGAAAATAATCAGCAAACATTTGTATGAAATAATGCCCTTTATTTGGATTTTTATATTCATTGTTGGAGAATCTTGTTTGCTGGAAGTAGAACTCACATGAACCGGCCGCAGACACAGTTACTGCCCTTTTATATTCATCAGTGAACACCTTTACAATATTCTGGTTAAATTTCTGTTTGTCAGCCGTCTTACAACCTGCGTAATAGAAACAGCAAGATCTCAGTTGTTATAACCAGAGAGCAATGCTTCTCCAACAATACGCTTGCTGGATTGGTGGATATAAATATATCCACTCTCTTAAAATATTTGAGAATAAAAATAAAATCTTACAATTCATAATTAGAAACATATTATGAAGGTCAATTACCGGGGCAGAAATTTCAAATCAAGTTATAACCAAGAATGTTCTTTTCGTTCATTCATACTGCTGGAGATCGAGGAAATGCAATTTGCGCAAGAAAGGAATCTGAATTGGTTTGTAATGATAATTGTGTAAAAACTCCGTCACTGAGTTCACTATTTATAACAAATAAATTAACAGGGATGTTTTGTTTTATAAGACAGGAATTTTAAGAGTGTAAAAAGAATGGTAAGTATTAGCGTAAACGTGTGGCTTTCTGGAGCGTTGAAGCACGATTAATATACTTTTGGTTTGATATTAATTACCCTCTTCACGCCTAAGTATTAATAGAGCACCATGATCAATGATTTCTCCCTGAAAATTAAGAGGCAACAAGTATGAAGAAAATTTCACATGGAATTTATTGACGCTATTCCTCATTTTTCTATTGTCAATATTATCTGTCTTAGAATTTATAAGGTTTGCTTAAAACAAAGGTTTTAACTATGAAATCGACAGCAAAAGGCGAGAACCTCGTAACTTGTAATAACTTATGATTGAAACTTTATAAGGTATTTATACAACAAGATATCTTGAAAATAAAGCTTCGCAAGACCAGAAACTCGATTCAAAAGCGAGGATTCATTATTCAAGAAAACACATTAAAAAGTGGATTGTTCAAAATTTATCATTTTATAATTAAAAAAAAAAAAACTCTGAAAAAAGCGTTTTTATATTTTGTGATCTAGTTGGTGTGATTACGGAACAGCAAATCAACATGGTCCTCTATTAAAAGCAAGTGTTAGCTCATGTTAGTATTCCGGATTTACTTACTCTTCCGCCTCTTTTTCTTTTTTTTACCTCTCTCCCTCCGGGGCTGTCTACGTTTTTTGCCCAGTTTCTTCCCTGTCAAAATGAGGGCGCATGTTTCAGCACACCAATAACACATACGTATACATTAGTTTTAATCTATTTTTAACATCATTGGTCTATTGTATTTCTAATTGCAATGAGCACTAAATTTATATACAGCTGATGCTAGAAAAATTCCAATTAAAGTCAAGGTAAGATTTACCTAGCAACTCCACCCCCATCCCCCAAATAAGGTATTAAAATAATCATAAGACATTTAATGACATAAGAAGTCTATAAATTCTAAACCATGCAGTTTAGTTTAACCAGTTCTCTGTTGGTTCTTCCTTGTGTAAAATTATAAAAGATCTTCCAACAAAAAAAAAAAAAAAAAGAAAAAGAAAAGAAAAAAAAGAAAGAAAAAAACGAGGGGAAAAGACAGAAGCAACGAGTTAGAATATTAACACAGCATCTCTTATCTGCTTAAATAAATATTTGTGTAAACATATCATGCAAGATGACAAAATGGTCATGCTGTTAGAAAATATACATCTATTTTCGTGATTTATACCAAATTATACTAATTGAAACGATTGAAAAGGTATGTATCTAGGAATGCATTTTGAGTAATCACGAAAACATATATTTGGACTGTTGTTATGTCAACAAAGCTCTGTGTGTTGTCAATGACAACAATGGCAGAAGGTCCACAGGAAGCGGCACAGGAACCGGATGTAGTCAGTTAATACCTCTACAGGCCGGGTCTCTCCCGTGCACCGGGGTCCCCTCGATTGGTTTTCCGTCAGGGGTCACACACCAACAAAAACCACTTGTTACATGGCATTGTCGCTCCGCGTACGTACCGTCATCCTTGCATTCTGGGATGTAGACCCCGAACGTCGGCCGTCTGGCGATTTCTAGCGCCTCGTTCCTCTCTCGGACGCAGTTACTGCTTGTTCTATCGGCTTCTGAGGCTGGAAAAATAGACATTTCCAATAAGATATCATTTAAGGAAAGTCTTGTGATGCTTTGTTCAGCGACATTGTTTTAATAGAAAATATTTTGCCACCGGCAAAAAGTATGGGAAGTGAAAATTTGTACAATGAATCTATAATGTTTCAAGAAAAAATAAAGTTGTTTTTTTTTAATCAGATTACCAAATTAAAGAGGATGTCCTTGTTGCCACAGAACTTATTTTGATGTACTAATAGTTAAGTTGTTTTTCAATATAATTATATTTCTTCAAAATATAAGCAATTATTGAATGCAACCCTCGCACTTAGCATATATCAAAGTCACTATGTGATGGAATCTGTAGCTAAAATCTCTAAAACTTTAAAAATTCTATAACTTTTTTTCTGAAATAATCAATGATAAGTAATTTATCACTAAATGTTAAAATATTTCTAAAGCATTTCTTTTTCTCCTTTTTTCTAAATATGTTTGACCTTGAAATTATCTACTGTTGTTGATAAATACTTAATTAACAGAAATAAATTCTACTGAATCAATGAACAAAAAGACTTCTAACATTATAACTTGTACACTAATGATTTCAGGATCCCTTAGATTACGTATATAATCAAAGACGACTAGGTTAATATACAGATAAATTAATAAATATTACATAATTAACGTACATTTTGATTAATAAGATTTGAATAACAGACAAAATATTTTCCCCCGAATGTAATTATATTCGGTAAACTTTCGCCTCGAAGACTTTAAACGATGCAAGAAAACACACAGAATTGGAGAGAGAAAAGAAAGAAAAAACTTTTAAAAAAGCAAATACGATAAAAATATTTTTCAACATTTTATCTTTATTTCACTTCATCCCCTTATCTTTTTCTACTTATTCGTTATATTATCAGTATCATAGATCATATAAATGGCTGAAAAATATATAATTTCCTTAATTGTTTTTCCTCATTTTATAACAATAATTTAAAAAATGAACACAATTCAGAATTAGGAAAAAAAAAACTAATATTTGTTCCAGCAAAATTAAATTGAATTTATATAGTAAAATAAAGGCACCATGAAAAAAGAAAATGAAAAAGCAAGTAAGTACAGTACCGCGTTTTGGTGCACGCTTAGCAGCTTCTACCGCAGAGGGCCAGAGGACAGTTAAGGCGACAATGAGCCTAAGAAATTCAGTGTAATACATAATCCAAGATCACAAAGTCAAGTCTTTAAGGCAGTAGTATCCATCTCTCTTTACCAAGTCTCACGAAGCAGTGTGAAAGAATTTTTCAACGCGATGAACTTTTATTCCACATTTTCAAAAACAAAAAAAGAAACTTTTCTCACATTTCATGAATAAATGACATATTCCGAAGTTCGAGGTCATCCAATAATAGTCTCCGTATATCGAACGCCGGGCGATTCCAGTCTTCCTAAAGAGTTTTGACAGGTTTAGCGAAATTCCGCCTCTCCTTTCACTTGAAATCTTTGACATGCTTTGCATAAATTTGGAACATTTTGACATGCCAGATTGAATGGGAACTTAATTTATAGAATAATGTTTGTCGATATAATTACCATCTTCTGTAGCAGATAGGTGTCAGTGTGCTTTAAAGGAAAGAATTTCTCCGAAGAAACGAGGAAAACACATTGATCACGCTGAGCTTCCCTAAATTCTCTCTAAAGCTAAATGTATTTGTTGAATAATTAGTAATAATCTTAACGATTTACATTAAAATTAGTTTTGTCCTGTATTTGTTTGTCCCGTTTCGCACTTCATTGTATGCACTTATATTATAAATAACTTAGAAATTTTCATTAACTTTCTAATTGTGCCATGGGGTGCGATCGGTAAATTTTCAATGTTCTGCATAATATTCCTATTAATTTCGACAACAAAGTGAAAATCAAAATCATAATTCGTTGTTATTCCGAACACATCACTCGTATTAAAATAAGATTTTTTTTTCAATTTTTATTGACACTCTTAATTAAGGAAAGTAAATAGGGGACTAACACGAGTATTATACTGTGTATACGTATTCCTTTCTAAATTCTAGCCCGACTTAATCGGCGATTTATGATACAACTGTACAACATACTAGAGGTGCACTCGTGACGAGGAGGGATTTGTTCGCCGACCCTCTCTATGTCACCTTTACAATATACCTGTTTCTCCTCGACACACCTGAAGTGGCCAGGTGTGTTCTCTGCTCCCGTTTATCGCTTGTTACATATCACCCCCTAACCTCAAGTACTCGGATAAAAGGATAATATTTAGAGGGGCTAAGCGAGTGTTTGCGCAAGTGCTTTGACAAGTGAAGTCGTGGTCAATTGCGATATTGACTCAGAGAACTTAAATTATAAATCTTAATTTTCTTCTTTTAATGCATTCTTTACCAGAGAGAAAAACATGGAGGATTGCTTTATACTTATATGTTTTTGTATACATCTACAGTGTATTAGTGGTGCACACCTGCTTTGTGGGCGTTTCTCAGGTGTAAAAGTGACCAGATGCCCACCTGTGTCAATAAGTTCTAAAATACGTTAAAATCAATATATAAAATCTTACAGTTTCTATTATTTTATAATGTTAAAGAGAAAATGCAGAAAAAATCTTAGAGAATATGACATTAATCGTACATTCTCGTAAAATCTAAGTTACTAAATATTATCATTTGATAAAGTTGATTGACACCTTTCAACTTCAAAGCGATTTGTGAATATTAGAAAACTGATCAGGAAGGTTTTACTCTTAAAAATCAAGTTCAGTCGTCTGAAATAATATATATTTCACAATACCAAAAGGTGAAATTTTGTGAAGTATATACTGCCCTGAAATTGAAATACGAAGACAGGGATGCCGAGGATTTGTATATCTGTAAATATGCTAGAGTAGAACGCATTAACCCGCGACACAACTACCTTCTACAAAGTTTCCGACAAATTTTTCCTCCCGCATTGAGACATACCTCGCATAATTTGGCTTCCAATTCTATATCACCATGCTCAACATTAAAGCAAACGATGACATTTCATATTTTTGAAATACGGTCAGAGTGTCAATCTCGCTATCTGGAATTATGACGTAAGCATCAAGTGGAGGTTGTAATACGTGCTCTTTGTTCAACACAAAAATACCATATCGATTATAAACCTTTAAATTAAAAAGACAAAGAAGACAATATTTGCACTTTCTCTACCTTTTTCTCTTCGAATGCTGCTGATTATATTTCTGTAGAACAAAAACGTCAATAAATAAATAAAGGGGGGGGGGGGGTATTAATGCAGCAAGAGCAACTCTGAAGTTTGAGACTACTATTTTTTCTCCACTTTATTTCTAGCGTGCAGATGTACTTTGCAAATGACAGACGTAGAAGTACATTGTCAAAACAATCTCTTCAGTTTTAACTTGGTGTTTTTAGACAAAACATGAAAATTGCAAATAGTCTCAAAATTTACTCTTTAATTCTTTTTCAAAAGACAGCTTTATTGCATCTCACCTCCGGGATTAATCATAATTTTAAGAATTATAAAAGCAAATTACATTTATTTATTGTAAATTTTTGAATAAATAATCAACTTTAATGAAAATAGTCAAAGTAATGATTAAAAAAAATCCAAATAAAAGTGAAATGCATAGAATTTGTTAGTTTTAGAACGCTTATAGTACAATAATGACAGGACAACAGAAGTTATTAAAACTGCACTGAATGGAACTGGCGGGAAAAAAAGATTCATCGCCTACAGGATTTCCCAAATGACAGTGCCAATCTTCAGACTTTGGGACAATTAACATGACACATATTGACAACAGCCAAAGACAAGGTGCAAATTAGATACTTTTGATTTCAACACATTCATGCACGCCTTCTAGAATTGATTCCAAGAACGATATAAGAATCACTTTTTCCAGACAGTCATGTAACTTATCAATTTCGTCTGAAGGAGACGAACACAAGCTCACATTAAATGTTTAACTTTCCGGAAAAAATGTTGAGGAATTAATGCAGAGACACTTTAAATGGAAATTATTTGATATGTGTTACTCATTTCAATATTGAAATTCCTTTTTATCAACAATGATGATAATTGAATTTCGTGACTATAGAATGTAATAAGTGCATGTATATCCTTTATTATCAATCTTCCTTTAATAATGAAGTCATTACAGAAATTATCGAGGTACATGTACTGTCAATCATAAAAATATTTTGTTGTAAATTTACAAGTATGAGATCACTAATTTTGATTTTTGAATGCATTCATCATAATTATTTATTTATTTAGTAAAATGTAGAATGTAGAGAGACAATAGGAACACAGTCAAAATAGACATGAAAACTTTATGTGTTAACTGTAACAGGAAGATTTAGGATATGTTTATTTCAGACTTGATTTTATCTTTCATGCAGAACTGAAAATCTTTCAGGGAGAATTGGAGATGTCAAAGTTTATTTTTAAAAATTTGTTTCTTCCCTTGACTTGAAAGAAAGACCAAGGTCACAAAATGCTTCGTAATATCTGAATAATCAATACACTTCATATCAAATATCGATTTTTTTTGCTGTGAAAGTACAAAGAAAATATTACCTCTTCATTAAAAAAAAAAAATCCAAACACATGCATGGTCAAAGATTAAGGTCACCAGGCTATATATGTTCAATGAATACAAAAGGCCTCTGGACAATTTGAACACATTTTAAACCAGAAAGATGGTGGAATTTATTTTATAGGTAAGCTAAATGTTCCAAGGTCATTGAGTCCAAAACCCCAATACCTTTTTGAAAGGTGCATTAACATGAAAAATGACAAATCTACGTCTAGCTGTTATTTTTTAGTGTTCAAAACACTTATGCTAAAGTAAATTTGGAATTAAGTTCAAGTTATTTTTTAAATGGTTTGTATACAACCAACACACCTGCTAAATATTTTGGCAATCAAAGAATGCATGATGAAATTTTTTTGGATGTGGAGGGTACATTAAAGTCAAGTTTAAAACAATAAATCAATACCTTTATAATTTTTAAGGTTCACTGGCCCTCTAATAAGAAGGGTAACTCTCACTGGCATTTCCTTAAAAATATTCAAGTTTAAAGATAACTTCTGTCAAATTGTGCACCGCAAGATAACCTAAATTATTCTATTATCAGATTTAATTTGAAGTTAGATTTCTTTTGCTAAATAATCATTAAAGCAAAAGTCCTGCAAGGAGCATTATATATGCGATACCTCTCATGAATGCAAAGATACAGTATTTATTAACATTATTGAAAAGCAATTCAAAGCTCAATTTCAGATTCACGAGCTCCCAGTATTCTACGAAATCTCTCATACTGAGCAATACCTAGTAAGGTATGATTCATTAAAACAATAAACTATGACAGACAGACGTACAGACACGGTGCAATTATGATACCTAAAATATCCAACGCAAGGAGAACTGTACGGCGGTCAAAAGCGATGTTGAAATAATCAAAGAATAAGAACATGTAGAATCTTGATACGGAAAGGTGTAAATGAAAAGATCTCGAAACAAGATGATAAAATGACTAATTCTGTAGAGACTTGTCTATTGTCAGATAAAGTCAAAGAGTTTCCTTACAACGACGCGTATATACTTTGTTATGTCTATGATCAAGTTTAATGAAAGCAATAGTTTACAATCGGAAAACACGAGTCTGTGGACAAACCTGTGATTGTCACGGCTGTATAGGTACAGGTGAGACGGGGGACCAGATGTTCCGGCACCTGTGTCTGGAGTTAGCGTACAGGTAAATATCTCCCTGTGATACAAGAAGTCGTCCTCTAAAATAACGTGTCTAAGTACATGTTTAACTACTTAATCGTAACAAAAATGTCTTAACATCTCAGAGGCAGGATCTATTATGATAAATCTTAATTTAGGGTGAAACAATTTAACATACAATTGATTCTAATCATTTTTCTGGTCTTTTTTTACTATTAAAAATTCGTCAAACTCGGTATTTCAATCTTAAATCCGCATTATGGATAGATTGAAAGATCTCTTTTGCCAATCCATACTTTAATGGTACAGAGAATTCTCTTCGTCGCTTTTTCAATGCTACTTATAATTAAAACTTTGATAATCTCAAGTGCAACTCCATAAACGTTAGCCTAACAATTCTACCTTATCACTTGAAATACAAAGATTGAGCAACAAAAATTCGAACTTAAACTCTTAAGAACTATTACTGAATTTTGTATAGTGTAATTTTTATTGGTATGCCAGCAATCCATCTACGCCAGATAGCTAAAGTTTTGAGTTGTTTACATTGTTAATAACTATAAACACTGACATTCATCCTCATTACCAACGACAGATCACTGAAAGTTTAGAATTTACAAATTTCTCAGTTACAAATTCGCAGTTAGTTTAACACAGAGAGATCTGGGTTGACGTATTGCCTGATTTCTATATTCTGTGCGTGAGTACTGTTTAAGGTGTCTGTAGAACAATAAGATGGACACGCTCCTTTTACATTCGATGCGTGTTCCTTTAGACACCCATTCAGGTCCTCGGATCAAATTTAAGATAAATTATTGTAGATTATTGCGATATAAGCTATTCAAAATTGTAAACGATAGCTGAAATATAATTTGGCTTTTTTTCATTCAACACGCTGGTAACCTCTGCCAAATTCTAAGACAAGGGAGGTAAGCCAAAATAAAAGTTGCACTGCATAAAGATTGGCTTAGAACACAAAAAGTTTACCGGAATTAAGCAACTCTATCAATTAATCAAATTAATATTCTGAACTTCTTGAAAACCTGAACAACAATGTATGGAAATTCCTTTCCACCTATTTAAAAAAATGCAATGTTTGATGTTTAAGTCACGGAACAGAACACTTTGAATTCTAAATCTTACATAAGTCCATACGATTTAAGTATAATTCAAGATATTCATCGTCAGCTTCTGTACATAAATTACATGAAATATTTTATACATGAATAAATGTACATGCGCCAATGATCGATACTTCCTTTAAATTCAATTACTTCGGACAAGCATGATTTTAAATTTTTGACTTAAAAGATAATTTATGGAATCCCAGCAGGTGCTCTACATGTGCCCGTTAATCACTGAGTTAGATAAAGGGCCGGGATGACGTAGGCCTGAGCTTGTTTTGTTTTAGTCTGGATTTGTCAGCTGGAATCCACCCACCGCCCGCGATGTAATTGTCAGGCCTGGATTATCTACCCTTGATTAATTTCGTGTAAGGATAATAGCCAACATTTGATGGTGAAAAGTATGTGACAATATTTCTAAACATCGGGATTAGTTCCAATGCTTATAAGGCAAACATTGCAGTGTCTCGATGGTTCATTCTGAGGAGGTTTTAAGGGTCTGTAAGGTGAACGTATCTTTCATCTTACTCAGACAAGGCTTGGGGTTCTATAAGTACTGTCAAACAAACTGTCATTCTTTGAAGAAACTTTAACACGATTTTGAAATGGACATAGTTAAAATGGTAAAGCTATGTAAGCTAGTTTTTCTTACATTTTTTCCACTATTAAAAAACATATGCTCTAGCACTTAGATGTATTCCATTGGCTCAAACAGATTTTCAACAGAAGATGAGCAGAAAAATCCACCAATCAGAATGTGATGCTTACTCACGTGAACAGGGTCCTTTCCGCTTGACCTTGATCTTCTTTTTGTCACATCTTTTGGCACGCTTGAGTTCACACCGGTGTTTGTAGGTCACCCCATCAGATCCACAGACAGGTCTGTTCTTCTTCCGAGAACAGTCAATTTTACAACTGGAATTACTTAAGGCCCGAAACATATTCTAGAAAAAATATATAAATTTTGTGAGAAGTGTTTAATTACAATACATGTATTCTTACTTAAATAAATTAATTTGTGAAAAAATCTTTCAAATAGGTCTACAGCTGAACTGAAGAGTTTTCCATTTCCTTTGACGGAAATGTACCTTAAGAGAAATTTTCGTTAATTAAAAACACTTTTTTTTTTATTCAGGACTTTCAACATCGATAGACCAAGTTTAACTAAAACAAGTCTTGGAAATGATACATTGAAGAGCATATATTGTTGCTGTTTTGCCTTTCAAAGCTTTAATGTCACCCAAAGAAACAAATGGAATCCATCTTAATTCTCTTGAAGAATTTAAATGATATTATTCGACATAAATAACCTACTATGCATACAAAGTTTCTAAAATAGAAATATTTATGAAAATTCAATACTGCATTTTGCAGTCAATGTCGATCTCAAAAGACAATGAAGGATACTTGGACAGCTTTTGGGTGGCCTCCCTTCAATGTGTCAGTGGAGTACAAGTACAAAAATATGGCATTTTATAGGGTTTCCTGGTATTTCATATGTAATAGGAGGAACTCAAGTATGGAGCATTGTTTTGAATACTTATGCATGCCTGATCAATCATTTTGAAAAACATCACAACCATTTACAAAGAAATCTCAGACCCCAAAAAATTATTTATTTTTACATTGGCACTGCAGAATTTAAACATTATTTTTTTCACTTCAACAAGTGCAAATCAAAAATCCTTACGTAATTAGCAATAAAATAGACTCTCATTTCAATGTTGAAATCGAATTATGTTTTGAAGTTGGTGGATCTCGGATATTTTAATTAAATTGGGTGAGCAATGAGATAATACTTAGCAATTCTTAGCAGAATTTTATTAAACTGCTCTGTTTTATTTTACATTTAACGGGTTTGTTTCATTTGTTTTTTTAATATGATATGGATAACTATTGCGCATAAAAACATAATGGGAGGTATTTGATCTCGCTGCACGTGGAATCCAGTCCGGAGCACTGGATTACAAACGGATTTTCTTAGTATCAAGTAAACAAGGGGTCTTCGTTATTTGTGATTAACAATTATTTATGTCTTTGGAATCTAGAACTCGGTAGCTACTTCAGGCACTTCACAGATGTCAACACCTGCAAAAGACTTAAAACCCACTTAAAACGACAAGTCGTAATCTTAGAGCCAGGCTTTATATCGCATTGTCTAGGCACGAACTACTGGCTAACAATGTTCCTCCAATGCCCACAGAAAGCCAGGCACGCACCTGGCCAAATCCTTAATCTGCTGTCGCTGACTGAACTCACGACAGCCGTTAGTGCAGATCGCCAGCAGTCATATTTGTTTGGATTAACACTAGATCTTAGGCGGGATCATCATAATGAAAACGGTGATGATAACGAACAGTGATCGATCTCATAACCATGAAACTACCGAAAGACACAAATTATCATATCAAAAATCTCATAAAATGACAGCCTCTTTTTTTCTTTGATATTAATTCTTAATCTATTGTAAAAGTTTCGGTTTATACGCTAAAAAACCAGCAGCACATGCCAAAAATCGGTAGAACGCAAAAAGCTGCTCCAGAGGATTAGGTGAAAGAGATAATGAAACTTGAATGAGAACATCAAACGGAAGATAGCATCTCGTAACAAGTCACGAACAGCATCTCGTCAGATGACAGAAAACGTGGAATCGCGAGAGATAACTAAGGGAGATAACTAGGGTATCATAAAGTGGATTCACAGCAATGCTGGACGGTCTCCAAAGCAGGGATTGCTCGCCACGCATAATGCCGTAATTCATCACAACAAGCATTGTAATAGAAAAGATACAAACTAATAAATCACCCGACTTACAACTTATCACATGCCTGACATAGCACACAGGCTCAGACATGGCATATTATGAGATGTTAATTAATTACTAGTTTCTAGTAGAACACACAGGGTTAGACTGGAAAAATACCATTCAAAATTTTGAAAATAGTTATTTTTTCAGGATATATTCAATAATGCTCACCATATCAGAATAGATCATGCACTTTATTTCTTACGAAAAGTACAGTGAACTGTTTTTCATGATTCTTAGAATGACAGTTTTTACTTTGATATTCCAACTAGGAGGAAATTTGGTATAAATCATTAAATTATTTGTTCACAAGGTGAAGCGTAAGGTGAGGTATGGCTTATGATTAACTGAGAACTTAGTAATTCCAAGTTATCATAATGATTAATATGGAGTTAATGAACCGGAAATATTTCGGTGAACCATGAAAATGCACATTGGTAGCTGCAGTATGTTTTGCAGAAGATAGAAAGCCTTAAAGATATAAGTAATGAAAGGGAAAAAAAGAACAACACGCCACGATCTTGATGAAGCAGAAAATGTCCTCCTTCGTCAAACTGCAGGTGACATTTATATTTAAGAAAAAGATAACAAATTGCCCATTCAGAGGTCACAGATGCGGAACAAGCAAAGATTAGGAGTACTTTAAGAAAACTGCCATCGAAAGAGTAGGCAGCACCTACTCAAGTTTATACTGAATCTAATACATTCTTGATATAACGGTGAGGTCATCCGGCTCGCAGGAAGAACAATCGTATTTAATTAGGAATTTATAAACAGGCACTCGAGAAACCTTTTTCTTTTTCTACTGTTGAATAAAAATTCAAGTGGTTTATCAAGAAAAGAAGTAAAAAATAAATACTGGCAATTGGTTAGGACGGTAACATAAACCATTGGTAACGGTTTCCGAGGCTGCGTATTACGGGTATTACCAGACTATATCAGGGAGCACTCTCCTCTCAAAGGAGGTAGATAATTTATACACCTGCATGGTTGCAAAGCTATGTCACTTACATCCGAAGACGACATTTCACCCTAACTACACAGTGCTACAAAATGGAAGAAATAGCGGCGTTCAGATTACGTAACGAGCTGTCCTACCCATACACAAACTGGAATTTCTTTCAGCCTTATTGCCATTGGATCACGATGCGTTAATTAAAACAATCATATGAAGTCAGGTCTCTCGGAAGTTTAGGTATGCAGTATTACAGTGCATATCCATTGTTCGGACATTTGTGGCACTTCGGGTGTCATCTGATACATGTAACATCACATGGCGCTAAATGAGATGATGTAAGAAGATAAATGGTGATGAGTTGCCCAAGTAAGAAACTGACGACGGATATGTAAATGATTTATTCCGTAAATCTGAAAGTTGAAGGTTATTAAGAAATGCTAACCAACAATTTTATCGCAAGAAATGTGTTAATGATGTCAAAAAACATTTTATTATGCAATTTAATGAAATAAAGTTAAAAAGATTGTCAAATGATTATCAACATTTGACAAGATATGATCTCTTTTATTAATCACATCACAAGTAATTTCAGGACTTATTCCTGTTGAGCGATTTAAGAGCACGCGCGGCGAGATCTGCTTGTTTTCTCCCTTATTCAATGAAAACCTTGAGACTCTCGAGCGGAATCTTCTCCATAATTAATGTGCTCCTTTAACATACATTTTTTGAATGCTTCTGCATTTAAATTTGTTACTTTTGACAACTGTGTAATAACTTATATGTTAATCTGGACACGGTATAATGCATTATTTAAGATCTAATTTCTGTGCAGCTAACTGTATACAAGTATGCTACGTTTACATTTTTTTCTTATCTGATTTGCATTTTAAATCACCGTTTATATTTTGACCTTTTGTGCGATGTAACAGCTTCATTCAATACGCCGCGAGCATCATTTGCATTCCACTGTATAGTTCTTTTCTAAATGAACGTATGAATGATTGTATTTTACGCTATTTGTCAGCGAATTTTTATACAGAACGAATAAACTCGAATTACAATTATTAGATGGGAGATATTGAGGTGTAAAGTTTTACAGGATATGCCACTTGATTTGGGGTGGGGGAAGTCAATTGCTATCGCATTTCACGTTGCAGATGGAGTGAAGTTATTGTATTCAAAAGATGGGCCCGTTCTCTGATGAAAGTTAGAGATAACATGATAGGTAATTCAGTTCAAAATGATATAACAAAACTTGGGGACTTCCACAGTGTAACAGGATTTGACTTGGACAAAAAGGATCAGCATCCTCACTCAGGGCAACAATCAAAAATAAATTGACTACGGACGATTAAGAGGGACGGAAAATAAAAGGGTTTTAACGAGACAGATCAGTCGTGCAAGAATTCCATCACAAAAAGGCTGTCTTACATCGAAACTTCACTCGCTCTTTGGTTTTCCATGCGTAAAGATGGATTTCAATTACGATGTGTTTTTGTAAACAATCCTAAACATGTTGATTTCATTAATTTTATTTGTAAAAAAAGAGAGAGAACAGAATTGATGTAATATTTAGTTCTTATTGATGACTTCCCACGAATGAATTGACATAATTTATGTACAAATCTGAATGTCCAAATGAACAATTAAAAGCCATTCATTCTAACAGCTCCTGTATACATTAATGATGAGGTATTGATTGTCCCTTATTCAGGTAAATGGTGTTTCAAATCATACGTAATCCCTCTCGTTTGAAGAATTCAATTTAACACAAAAAATAATAACTCAAAAGTAGTATTAGATTGAAGTGCTTTAAATTTTTTCCCAATTTTTTTACAGAGTAGAATTAATTAAAGAAGAGAGAATTAACAGAGATGAGAGAGACTTGTTGGGATTTACGGTAGCTGTTCTCTGTTAAACATGCTGTGAAGGGATTGCCCAGATAGGATGACTAACGTTTAATACATAGGCGGTACAGCTGTTAATCTCCCGGAAAATCAGACACCCAGCTATCATACAGAGGTACAACGAAGCTCACCTGTCACGGAGGTCATTGTCAGTGACATCAGTAATATTAAACATTATAGAAACGCTTAAAGAAAATGTGGAGGTTCTTTTTAAAGAAAGAAATTCGCTTTAGAACAAGGAGAAAAAGGTACAACTTTATCATGTCAATCAGGAAGGCAAAATCTTGAAGAATTTCAATTATTTCAGAAACAACCCATAAATGAGGATAACACTTGTTAATTTGTTTTAAATTCGGCTACAGGATTCAGCAAAAGAGTGGTAGCGCAGGAATGCTCCTTGTAGACGTTGGAAAAGTTTTGACGAGAGCTTAATCCGTAAATCCGGCTTAACGGTTCTCCAATCACAAATCACAGCCCGAACGGAGGATACAATAGCCTTAATAAATGGCCCGAACAAATTTTGACGCTTTCTCACTCGCCAAATCTCATCTGCTTACACCTCTTTCATTACAACAGAATTAGTTGAGCCCCTCAAAATTATTGCCATGCACTCTAAAGTGCGATTTAAATGTTACGTGCAGGCAGAGACACCTCGAGAACAAAAATCCCTGTCTGGTTAGGTACATCCGTCCGATCGTCGGGAGGCGAATTTAACAAACTTGAAAAGTCACTTTTCATATGTGCCTATTTTTATTTGTTTAAGGCATATTATTATTAACAAATGGAATGATGAAATATACCGTAAAATTGATCAAATAGAAGCTATATCATCATTTTCGATAGAGATATGATTAATCTGTAGAAGGTGTATTGCAAAGAAAGATTTGATGAATGCATATTCACGCCTACAGGGAAAAACTTTTCAGCTGGCATAAAATAGAGGATGTTACTTGATAAAATCTGTATCACATGCCGTATCAACCGGAGAAATGGACGAAGTGCTGGTACTGGCACTGAAAAAACCACCGACTAGGTTGAAGTTCATTTTGAACAGTATTCACTCTTATACTGACAGAGTTATCCCGAGTAATTCGCTGACAGAGTTATCCCGAGTAATTCGGAATTTTCTTTAGACCGATGCACACACACTTCGTCTTGATTGCAGATTATAATTGAATTTGATTGAATGAATATTATCGTACAAATTATATGGATTGCGATTTGAAATATATGATAAACAAAACTATGTATCACATATCCATAGTGACGTCAGCGTAATCGGTAATGTGATCGTGACGTTAGACAATGTCATCTGGCCCCGGGGTCATAAAACTTAGACGAGCTAACTTTTGATCTCAGTCTCACTTTTACAAAAGAAATATATAGTGGAAAAATGAGATTGAGATCAAAAGTGTGCTCGTCTAAGTTTTATGGCCCCGGAGCCGGAGCCTGCAATCAATGTTGTCCAAGTTGAGGTTTAATAACAGGTGGGCTGATTAGCTAACCAGTTAAATAGTCTGCTTAAGGATACGCACTTGCTTGTTTATCAACTATGCAGTAATTAACATTAAATGAATTAAAGAAATGAAGAATATGCACATATAAGACCAAAATGATCTCTTCCTTTTACAAATCAAGCACAGCAGTCTGATAAAACACTATTTTAAGTTAATGTTCCGCTAGTAAAAATCAATAGGCGGTTATATTCTGGATAGTGAACGGTTGGCCAGATTTTTGACAAAATAAAAACTAGTTTTGTCATTCTATCTTCAAAGTAACACCAGTCTTGACAAAAACCATGAAAGCCGATATACAGTGTCGGTCTGGATCACGACATCAGGGCTGTCAGACATTTACTTACCCATCATCTTATTTTCCTATCAACAGAAGTAATGATTTACCGTAACAAAGCATCAGTGACAATCACCCTTTTTCGACTCTCGTCAACAGCACACCTGGCCAAATCTGTCAAAGCCTTCTAAGGTGGCATCATGTTTCCTCGATAATGTTTATAATGGGGGAACTGGTGTTTTACTGTGGTAAGTTAATTTTAATCGGTATGAGGGTTATCACCTGTCAAACGGTTTGAAAAGTCACCAAATATCTCCGATTTTCCGAACACTGATATTGAACAGAAGCAGATATATATAATGGAAAGCACACAAAAGACTTGGAAAATTCGATTTAAGTTTCATCATGTAGGAAATAACATTTGTTCCTTTGTAGTTTTTGATATCGGTGTTTTTGAAGATTTCGATAATATCAAGGATTTTTTTTTTATCTCGAATTATGAGTGAAACGTGGTATTTTTTTTCTGGTACTCTTAGCCACAAGAATTTTGAAAGTATATAAAAGTCTATTAACTTTCTGATGAAGAAAATACTGGGCATGATAACGACGCGGGGGTTCGCCCAAACCATAAGGCCATCAACTTTACATTTCATTTACATATGTTTATTTATTTTCATAGGCTCATTTGATCGCAGATTGAACCTGAAGATAAGTTTTTGGGAAGATACGAGTAATTGAAAGCTATGCCACATTTAGTGTCTGTATAACGTTTTACTACTCGAATTTATGACAGAAAAGAAGTTATTTTAAACTACTTTTCCTAAAACAACGAAAAAAAAAACCCTCAAGACAATAATAATCTAAGGTATTTGCTTAATTCAGAAAATTTAACTATTTCTAAAGCTCGCCACAGTTTTCTGTCAAGATATAATTAACGATGAAGGGGTTAATTAGCACACATAAACCCAGAACTCTTACCTTTCCTTGGGCTTGAATATCGGAGCGAGACAGTGAGGGATTCCCTCCTTCCGAGGTCATAGTCACAAAAACAACCAGACAAGTTATAATCCAGAAGAATGTGTACATTCTTGACGGAATTAACACAAACTTAAACATATAAAGCTTAGACTTGGATCCTTAGAAGTACCTCTGGAAAGTCCGTTCTTCCTCCATGCTAATTCTAGATCACAGATCCGCGCAGAAATGAATTTAATCCAACCCTAGGTTCTCATCGTTTGGAATTCTTCTTACTCACGCCTTACATTTTTTTTTTATAAACACCACACGATGCAGGTCCAGGCGCACCTGAATATTTTATTTAAATAAAAATAAAAAAACGATATGTCATGAGTGATCAAACATCTCAACTCCTCATCCGATCGTCCCCATGTGTGTACTCTCTCCAAGTATTTAAATAGCCAACAGAGGTCACGTGATGAAAAATACCCCAATATCAAATCGCGAATATCAACAATGAAAATTATTTTCAAAATACGACGATATACGATACGTTTTTACATATATACATACAACTTGCATATTATTGTTAAGTGAGCTATCATTAGGAGGTATAACGAAGGAGCACAATCTGATTAGCTGTGTGCCGCGGATCTCCTTTAAACCCCCTTAACTCTCGCTGAAATTTTAATCCTCGCCGAATCTCGATTCAATCATGATAATTAATTCGTTAGAATCATTTAGAATATTTTAAATCCGGTGATTCTCAGTAAGTAAACAATGGTCGTCTGCGCGCTTCTGTAAATTTTGAGTGTTTGTCCCTTCAGAGTAAAAGACGGATTTTTTAAAACATATTTTAATACGGAATGATTTGAGGCATGTTATACACTGACAGCTGAGATTCCAGCGTAGATAAGACTAGTCGTATCTCGACATTCATTTGATAATAGCTTTGACACACGTAACATACATCAAAACAAATTGTAATGGCCACGGTGTAATCAAGTTTGCTAGTCTGGTAATTCACCAATAACGTTTCATCTTGTGTCGCTGTTTCATCGAATTGTGCTTTGCATCCACATGTCAGACATAAAATAAGTGTGGGATGCTTGAGCATTATTGTAAATCTTAGTGCCTCGTTTCGCTGATTAATTTTAATGTAAAAATTACATATTACAGAACCCAAATTTTATCTGCTTAGTTATGAAAACGAGGTTGTTTCGCGCGTGGTCTCCCGCGCTTTTTGTTTTCTATGATATAGATCATACGAAGTAAAATCACATCTGATATGTTGGCGGTTTTTCCCTGTACAAACAGACCTCTGAAATCCCAAAGACACTGGATTTCTTCCTCTGATGGATAAATTATTGTGGTGTAGTCGTGTTCACGCTGACATTTCTGACAGACTGAAGTACGTCGTCTTGAATCAGTTACCCTTACTGAAAAATCTGCCCTCGTTTGCTTCCATCATCTTTTTGTAGGCAATGTCCCTTGTTACAAATGTAAAACTGGTGGCGAAAAGTCGTCATTTGTCAGTTGTCATCATAAATGCAAGAAATGAATTTATTCAGGATTTCTACTTGAAAATACATTAATATTTTTAACTTCTTTTTTTTCTTTCTGGCAACTTTTTCCACAATAAGATTTATGAGTAATGAATTCTACACAGTGAAAAATGATGAATGTGACATCCAGAAAAAAATATTCAGCACTTGATGAGCTTCTGTCTTCATACAAAAACTACTCCAGAAAATAATCCCTGAAATTAAAAGCAAGTAAAAGATCTCAGAAACATTTTTAATCATAAAAAGGTCTTGTATTCCACCATATTTCAAGTTGAAGTCTACATCTTGTATTTTCTACAGATATTTCCCAACCGTTTCATCCAAAGTTTACAATTATAAACAAACTCTGCAAGTACAAGTGCGTAGATATTGACCGTCTTAAACAAAATCCTCCTCAGTGTTCTTGTTCTTCCTCTTCTCTCAGCTATAGTCCAACTGGAAACATCATTACTGGTGATGTAAGTATAGTTCAAAATGACGACTACAAGATATCATTTTAAAAGGTCCTAAATTCAGGGAGCCCAGATCTTTTAAATGGCTACAGAACATTTCTGTTTTGAATTCGGCCGGGGAATAAGCTAAACGATGGGCTAAATATGAAGAGGAAGACATTGATAATCTGTCACAATATAAAGGATTGAACGTTTTAGATATACATCAAATATGCAGACAAAAAACAGTAATCAAGCTCAAAAGTACATAGAATAAATAGCAAACACGGACCTCTAAAACATCAGAGATGGGATCAGGTGCCATGGAGGAGTAAGCATCCCCTGTCGACCGGTCACACCCACCGTGTGTTCATTGTCATGATCATGAAAGAATCACACTAGAAATTAAAGGGCAAGATGCGAACTATCTAATCCTTCCGTATTCCGTAGACCGGAAGTGATAAAAGAATTAGAAAGACTACATGAAAAATATGTTTTGGTTCTAGCTGGCAAAGCTTTAACAATATAGTCTTTGTTTGTAAGGCTTATTATCACATCTACAGTTTAGAAGGACTTGATTTTCATTCCACATCTGGAAATACAACCTATATTCACAGTTCCCTTTCAAAAGACGAAATTCTTCAAAATCACCTTTCAGGTTTAAATACACACAGGCACTTGGGGGTATGGACCCCCCTTTCCATCTTCTTTTCTTTTTAAATCTCGGGTCGAGTCACCTTTTTCGTATTTTTGTATTCTAATATACACTGTATGTTATCAATAATGTAACTCTTTTGTCTCTATAAGCTGTTTTTAAATATATCGTTTTCGACTGATACATAAAAAGAGAGAAGGCTTGCAACTCTTTTCTCATCGTCTGTCTCACCTCGCTTAAACTTCGCCTGATTATTTATCGAAAGAATAAGAAAACATGGAATATGCATATATCAATAAATTCGTTATAAATTCTTCTTCCTTTTCATATTTCCATTTAATTTTTATGTGCCCCCGATTTGTAAATATTTCGATTAAATCACCCGCATCTAGGGTAAATTTTGTTGATGTGCACCAGCTGGGACGGAAGTGCCCGGTATTTTCGGATATCATCATTACGTGTAATGTCATTCGGAACATTAAATGCGAGAAGGAATAAATCCCGAATTTTCTCTTCATATAGCATGTAACGGTAAGTTCCGTGAATAACAAGATAACTTTAACTAGCAAATTCTAATGGACGAGATAAAGTTTTAACAGACGACCTAGACAACCAAATTTCACAATATTGTTATTGCAAAGCCTGGATTTTTTTTAATGCAGAACATTTATAAAGTTAGAGTTACCGTTATTGCACTTCCGTCCCAGCTGGTGCACATCAACAAAATTTACCCTAGATGCGGGTGATTTAATCGAAATATTTACAAATCGGGGGCACATAAAAATTAAATGGAAATATGAAAAGGAAGAAGAATTTATAACGAATTTATTGATATATGCATATTCCATGTTTTCTTATTCTTTCGATAAATAATCAGGCGAAGTTTAAGCGAGGTGAGGCAGACGATGAGAAAAGAGTTGCAAGCCTTCTCTCTTTTTATGTATCAGTCGAAAACGATATATTTAAAAACAGCTTATAGAGACAAAAGAGGTACATTATTGATAACATACAGTGTATATTAGAATACAAAAATAGGAAAAAGGTGACTCGACCCCAGGTTTAAAAAGAAAAAAAAATGGAAAGGGGGGGGGGTTCCATACCCCAAGTGCCTGTGTAAATACATTGAACATTCCAGTCAATGGAATTGAGTTTAATTTACGTACCTTTATTGGATTCCAAAACATCAAAAAGTCCTTAGAAACAAAAACACTACAGGGTCCAGTAAATATTCAACCAAGCCCCTATCCTTACTCCTCACCAAAATATTAACTGCTGTGAATTAGAAACGTCAGATTTATTGTGCTTTAACATATTCAAGAAAAGTTGTTAATCAAATATGGATTCTACAAAACTTCAAAGAACTTGTGGAAAATTTAAAAACTCAAAACTTTCCAAAAACTCAAAATGCTCTATACGACCATTCCTCACGATAAATCAAAGAGCAGACTTTTTGACATCATAGATGACTGCTTCCAGCAATCTGTTGGAATATTGATGAGCACTAATTTTGCTCCTTTATTAGCCAACCTGTTTCGATTTTCCTAAGAAGTAGAATTTATTCAAAAACTTTTTCACGAGAAGAAATCTCTAGCTGTGGCCTTCATCTCGACATTTAGATATATCGTCGACGTTTTATCAATTAACAATACTTACTTTCATTCATATGTCGACTTGATATATCCCAGTCAATTCGAAATAAAAGACACTACATAGTCTGCCACATCTATTTCATATTTGGATGTTTTACTGACTATAGACGATAATGGTCAACAGATACCTTAACTGTATGACAAACAGGATGACTTAGCGTTTTCATCGTCAACCTCCCTTATTTGTGTAGCAGTATCCAGTATCACCTGTATTTTGTCTCTTTGTCACCTGTCACTTTGTTTAGGTCTCCAAACTGATTCGATACGCAAGAACATGCTCTGAATACGATCAAATATAAACCCAAGACAATGTACCGACAAATAAGTTGATGTTACAAGGATTTTGCTGGGTCGTATTTTGTCTGAAATGTTTCATAACATTAGTTAGGTCATTGTTTTTTTATTTAATTTGACTACGGAGTACCCAGTCTACCTGATCAATACATAGGGCTCTCGGCGGGTGTGAGATCGACAGGGGATGCTTATTCCGCCTAGCCATCTGACCCCACCTCTGGTGTTTCCAGAGGTCCGTGTTTCTGCCCTGTTCTTGATTCGTTTTATTTACTGGATATATGAAATTGATCACTGTTTATTATCTCTACATTTTGCATACCAAAACTATTCCAGAAAATAATCCCTAAAGTCAAAAGTAAGTTATTGACCAAAACAAAAAAAAACTTCAGAAAATAATAACCGAAATCAAAAGCAAGTTAAGACAAACAAGATGTGTTTGTGAAACACTGATGCCCCCGTATGGCTGCTTATGGCGAAGGTTAAAGTTTCTCCAATGCAAGTCAAAATCCAGGTCAAGAGATAAAAAATTTTGGTACCCAAAGAAAAGTCTTGTCTCGAGGAATATACCTGTGAAATTTGAAAGCCCTAGCTCCAACTGTTCAAAAGTTATGGCGAAGGTTAAAGTTTTTAAAAAGTAATACGTCAAGGTCAAGGTCAAATGGGACCCCAAGGGAAGGTCTTGTCAAAAGTGATACACATGTTCGTGAAATGTGAAAGCCCTAGAACCAGACGTTCACATGTTATGGCCAAGGTTAGAGTTTTTAAAAGTAGGTCAAACTCCAAGGTCAAGGTCAATGCCAATTGTTGGTATCCAAAGGAAAGTCTTGTCCCAAGGAATGCACATGTGAAGCATGAAAGCCGTAGACCAAATGTTTAAAAGGTATGGCAAAGATTAAAGATTTTCAAAAGTAGGTCAAACTCCAAGGTCAAGGTCGAAGGGTCAAAGTTGTTGGTATCCAAAGGAAGGTCTTGTCACAAGGATTACATATGTGAAGTATGAAAGTCCTACCACCAACCATTCAAAAGTTATGGCCAAGGTTAAAGTTTTTCGAAAGTAGGTCAAACTCCTAGGTCAAGGTCAAAGGGTCAAAGTGGTTGGTATCCAAAGGAAGGTCTTGTCATAAGGATTACATATGTGAAGTTTGAGATCCCAAGCACCAACTTTTCAAAAGTTATGGCCAAGGTTAAAGATTTTCAAAAGTAAGTCAAACTCCAAGGTCAAGGTCAAAAGGTCAAAGATGATGGTATCCAAAGGACGGTCTTGTCACAAGGAATGCACATGTGAAATTTGAAATTCCAAGCACCAACTATTCAAAAGTTATGACCAAGGTTAAAGTCTCATAAAATTTTGCAAAAGTGGGTCAAACTCCAAGGTCAAAAGGTCAAACATGATGATACCCGAAGAAAGGTTTTGTCCCAAGAAATACACATGTGAAATATGAAAGT